AAAAATGGATGGAAAAAACTGCAATTGAATGTAACTTAGAATATTGATGCAATATATTCAAAAAAAAAGCAAAGAAATAGCTAGCTTCTAACATGAAAAATTTTCTCTTAAAATCATAGATTCAACGAGGAAATTAATGATATATGAAGAAGATATTTGGATAACTTGCTATACGTACATAAATGAACTACATATTTAATCTCGTCAGACCAGAAGAACAACAGACAAGTTGTCAAAGAACAGAAAACCTTTTAGCCCTGATAACATCCCAGCAGATATGTTAAAAGTTAGCATTAAAATATTGGTAAAGCTTTTTATCATATGTACTTGACTGGTAAACTCCCAGAGGACTCGTTAATGTCTGAATTTCTAATTGTACCAACAACAACGGCCGAAACACTGTGGCGACTATAGACATACAACCCTTATTTCTACGTATCATTCACAGTTGACTAAGGAATAATAATAGTACAGAATATCAAGATAAAACGCACTTTGGATTGGGAACTAGAGTAGCACTTTTTGCACTGAATGTTTTAGTACAAAAATGTCAAGATCATTACAAAGATGTTTTTATCATTTTTAATTACAAAAAAAGTATTTAACATGGTAGAGATAAGTTTATTAAAATATGAAGAGATAAAGGAGATGATAGTTGCGACGTCGGGAAAATTGGAAAATTATATTATGCCACATATCCTTAAAGTTTTCTGAAAAAAATAAATATATATTTTTTAATTGTAACTTAAGTTTATTTTCCACAAAGAATCTACGTTCCTGTAGTTGGCTGTATACCATGTATTAAAAATTTAATTAAAAATCCTTTGTAATAGGTATATTTTAGGCCCAAACGGGCTAAGTTAAAAAGACAAAACGTTTTCGGAAACCATGTTCCATCCTCAGTGTCCTAGAAAATAGTTAACCACTTAATTAAAAAGAACTTAGGTTAAAATTTTGACTAAGGTTGAACAATGTGGTTAATACTTACTAGGAGTACATGAATGTAGCCACCAAGATTAAATATGTGGGTAAAAACCCGATTACATATGTTTAATTACATTTAGTTTTAAAATAATGTTGTAATGATTTAGGATTATAGAGTTACCGATGGATTAGGTAACATGGCGACATATGACTCCACGTTGAAGTTGCTAGTCCTGAGACGGTATGTCTTCGAGGACTGTATGAAAGCAACTGATTGGCAATGACATTTGATGACAATATTGTTAAGTTATGACGGAAATAATCACAGAGCAGTCAATGTAGCTGTATGTTTCTACTTAAAGCCAACGTTATTTAAAATTGTGAAAATTAAGTAAATTAATATAACAGTATCAACCATCAAAGTTGTAGTTTTTAATTTATGAAATTAAGATGATATAAGCTGGCAAAAATTGTATGGTTGTAGTTAGGCAACCAACTATGCATGTATGTAGCAATGTAATATAGAAAAAATTTTATTATATGGCCCTTTATGTTACTTAAACATTTGGTACCCAGAAAATATAAACTAGACACATGTGGAAGGTTGAATTTTAGAAAATATTGATGTTAATGGTTGAATCTAAATGTATTTATTTATAATTGGAAGTGTTCTTGTATGAATAAAATAAAACTGTTTTAGTAAATGTTCACATGTTATTTAACTTTTAACTCAAATATAAAGCTCAAATACCGTCTCAGGACTAGCAACTTCAACGTGGAGTCATATGTCGCCATGTTACCTAATCCATCGGTAACTCTATAATCCTAAATCATTACAACATTATTTTAAGACTAAATGTAATTAAACATATGTAATCGGGTTTTTACCCACATATTTAATCTTGGTGGCTACATTCATGTACTTCTAGTAAGTATTAACCACATTGTTCTTTAACCTTAGTCAAAATTTTAACCTATGTTCTTTTTAATTAAGTGGTTAACTATTTTCTAGGACACTGATGATGGAACATGGTTTCCGAAAACGTTTTGTCTTTTTAACTTAGCCCGTTTGGGCCTAAAATATACTTATTACAAAGGATTTTTAATTGTAACTTAAGTTTATTTTATTAACTAAATACAGAAAATTAAGTCTACATATTTAAGGGTATACCTATATAATGTATTTTTGTAAGGCAGAAAGAGGTCTCTGATCCTAGATGACACGTAAATTTGATCTTGCATGTACAATAAGCCTTTGGACGGTTTCTAAGTTGATCTCACGAAATTTTTGCAAAATTCTTCGCCTTAGCTGATATTCATTTTGGGCTTTTCAGTCATTATTATACACTATTCGACGCAAAACGGCTCAAAACTCCAAATGGGACTCGCATGAGGCACATTTGGAGGGTTGTCGCGTTTGGGAACAAAAGTTATATTTTGAGCAGTTAACCAACGTTAACTGTCATTCTCCTGGCGTAACGGCATGATGCTAGATCGAGCCAAAATAGAATTTCATCATTGGGTTAATTTTTATCTATAAATTGAACAAGCTTTGTAAGACACATGTCAACGTAATTGTCAGCATTGAGAGCTTCACCGCGAACACGCCCAACAATCGGCTGTGAACACACCAGCATCTGAGATGGCACACCATACCAAAAATTTACCGGCAAATTTTACTTTTCCCCTAAACCCAACTTCGACGCATCTTGTACATTGCGTGTATAAAATTCGTCGTTGCCCTTCATTTTGGAATTGGATAAAGTAAAACACTTTTCATCATCAGTAATGAGAATTTTACCAGGAAAATGAATACGTTTCAATGCACAACAACATCGAGAAATTGTTTCTAACTGAGTTGGTGTGTACTTAGGACCTTTTTTTTCTTTTATATCGTTTTAAATTATTTCTAGAAATTGTTCTACTTACAGTCATTCGTGAAACATTATATCTTCGGCCAATATTTCGCAAAGACTTTCCTAATTGGTTCTCCATACTCTGAATTAATCTCTGTTTAAGAGCAGGAGTTAAAACTATTGGTCTTCCACTTTTTGGCAAATTAAGGCATGGTATATCATTTTCGCACTCTTTAATTGTCAGGTAAATCGTTGACACAGAAATATTTTGAGCACTAAAAATTCTTACAATATCGCGTTTTGGTACATGTCCAACTAAACGATAAATAGTTTGAAGAAGTTTGTACGGAATAATAAAGAACCGTATTAGTCAAAACTGACATTTTTTACATTGTTTAAGTTGTTTAACTTTGGTTTCCACTAGCAACTTGATCCAGTGCTTCCTACCAATAATATTTTAAAATCTAAAATTTTCCGAAAACTTTTTGGAGACATACGTAATTAGAGACAAAACGTGACCATTCATATAAATAAGAAGTATTTCTTCGTCTTCTTCTTCTTCTTTTTATATAGACATGACTACGTCTGTTTATCAATGTGCCTACAGTAAGTTGTTCCATCATTTTCGTGGTCTTCCCTTGTAAATTCTGCCTTTCGTTTCTTTCCCATATTTTTATTGCTTCATATTGATTCATTTAGGCAGCCTGTAGCTCTGTTTGCTCTATTCACTTGATCTTCCACTTCGGGAGCATATTATGATGCCTAGATATTTAAACTCCATCACTTGTTCTATTATCTAACCTTCCAGCTCCAATTTACATCTTAGTAAATTTGCTGTTGTCAAAATGCATTTTGTCTCTTTTGGGGAAATTAACTTGTTAAATTTTCTGGCGGTTATAATAATATGGCAGATTATTTTAAGCTGTTTTCCTATCATTTCGTATCCTTTTTAGTTCTTACTTTTTTATTGTTTCATCCATAATAAGGTTGAACAATAGAAGACTCAGGGAATCTCCCTGTCTTATCCCATTGCCAGCTTCAATAGGGTCAGTTAGTTCTTCTTCTACTTTTACTTTTATTGTGTTGTTTTGGTAGATATTTTCAATCGATAAATTAAGAAGTTGGACCATTAAATTAATAATTAAAGAGAACCTGTCCAATCATCAGTATTTAGATTGTTATTTTGCCGAACAATTAGATCCAGAACAGTGCAACAGTACTCGTGCAACTTTTTATAAAAATGAATGCAATTTTCTTGAAAACTTAAAACTTCAAACTTGAAAACTTTCATTGTGAAAACGCATCATTAAATGTTGTATATGATTAGTTGCCTTATATGTTGCTCAAGCTTGAACTTTAATAGCTATTATTAACCACTTAGAGGCTTTTGAAATGTGATTGTATAGACGAACACTAAAAATACCGTGGAGGACTAAGCAGACAAAAAAAAGTCGTTCTCAACAGAGCAGAAGCTTCTTTTCAAGCGACTGATGGCGTCAAATCCAGAAAAATGTTGGACATATAATGCAGGAAAAACAGTATAATATTCTTCAACTAAACCGAAGGAAGTATGTGCATGGAGAAACAGCCTCGTGATTAAAGAATGTTAAAGAATAGACCGGCATACGGAGAGTGTAAAAACTGTTCAGAATATGGACTACCATAGATCAAGACAGAGAGAGTTCTGTCCTGTTAATCGCCAACGTCAAGGGTACTTGATACAGCACGTTAAGAAAAACAAAATATTACGTATACTATGAAAATATTATGAGAAAATCATGTTCAGAATATTGAAGTGATAAGAATAATGAAGGAAGAAAAATAAGTTCAAAGACAATACAAGAAAAAAAACTATAATATTTTGATATATGTAATGGGCGTAGAAAAATACGGTATTTATGGAGGGAGATGTGAAAAAATGTGAATATTTTGGCAGAATAATCATAAACGAATGAAATGTTTCCAGCTCATAACAACTCGAGAACAGTTAGGGTCACCATGATGACTACCAAAATAAGTAACAGCGATGAGACTTAAAATATTAATAAGCCTAATTTCGTCTTAAATGTTAGTTGTAATTTTAGTTTTAATTAAAATATGCAAATATTTCTTTTTCATTGTGGTGTCACTTAAGTATGAAAGTACAATTTTTCCAATTCTGGAAAAGTACCTCCTGACATTTTTTACATCAAATACATTTAAAGAAATTTAATTCATTACCTTTTAAAGCAGCTCCTTCGACGGTGCAACTTTTTGTACCGGCCATACAATCGACATAATTTTTGACAAGGCGATCGCTCTTAAGCACATCATCTACATTAACTTTCCTAAGAATTTCCAAATTTTCCTCGAACGACTTCTCCGAGGCGCTTAGTACTACTCCTACTACTGCAAGCGCCACTAAGAACACAGATAAACAGTAACGATTCATTTTAGAGTTAGAACTGTATTATGTTTGACTATTGTTTTGTTTCAATATTTATAGCCCCCAAATACTAATTTTATGTTGTAAATTAATATTGTTTACCACAATTGTGTTCATGAAGATGGCTTGATAAGATTTTTTATTCCTAATTAAAATATAATACTAATAAATTCAAGGGCGTTCACAAAACATAATTAACCAAAAACTGGGGATATACGTGAGCTATAATTAAAAAAGGTGTATATCTTTTTTTTATTTACAAATTTTATAAATTATATCTCTTGTATAATGTATTTGCATATTTAAGTGCATGTCTTCAAAACTAAGTGCAGATTTTAATAATGTATTTACAAATTTATGGAAGTTTTAGTTTAGGCGTATGATTATTGGACGTAAGGTATTGTTTATTAGTTGGTAACATGCAATAACAATCAAGGTAAATAATAAGTAATAAATAATAAACTTTCATTTAAACATAAATGTTTCTATAAGGTTCTAAAAAATAAATCTAAAACTATTATAAATAAATATAAAACTAGAAAAAAAAGATATCATGAATATCCATCCGGAAACGAACAGTTCCCAATCAGATTGTACTACAAGAGCATAGTTTTCCCGTTACATCTCACGTAACATACCTAGGAGTAACAATTGATAGAAAATGAACCTGGAAGGAACAGATAATTTTTTAAAAAAGCCCAGCAGGTATTAAATATATTAAGAGCTATATATTCCCTGTATGCAGCCTTACAGCTGGAGAGCTGATCCAGAAATTCCTTGTTATTATATTATATGTCATTTATTAGATTAGATTAGTCAATTTGGGATTACAGATACTTTCTATACTCTTAAGCAGCGTACAGTAACTTAAAAAATATATATAATTTAGTGCATAAATGCCTAGAATTGTCCTTTCGAGCCTCTTTAAGTATATCAGTTTCAAATCTTTATCTAGAATGTAGAAGTTTTTTTATTTTATTTACTTTACTGCTTTAAATAACATACTTAGGTACATATTAAGAGTAGTACAATAAAACACCAAACGTAAAAATATCGTAAATCCAAAAAAAAATAATGGACAAAACTATATAATAACAAGAGTTCTTCTTCTTCTTGTCATCAACCTATCTCATCTGTGGTCTTCCTCTTGGTCGTTTACTTTCGTAAGGTCTCCAATGTTGTATTGTAGTATTCCGACGTTGGTCTTTCTGTCTAGCAGTGTGGCCCGCGAAGCTCCATTTAAGTTTTGCAATTTTTATTGTTATGTCCTCGACTTTTGTTTTGGATCTTGCCCAGTCGTTCCTCTTTTTATCTGACAGTAGTATACCTAACATTGCTCTTTCCATTGTTCTTTCTGTTGTGGCTAGTTTATTCATGTTTGCCTTAGTTAGCGTCCAGGTTTGACATCCATATGTAATGATAGGTGTTTGGTTTTGGAGGTTTTGGTCATAACCCACCACGCTGGCCAGACGGGTTGGTGGGGTATAAGAATGTATCGTGTCCACCATTGTAACCGAGGTTAGCGGCCTACTCAGTTCAGCCAACACCCCTCAGAAAAGATGGTCTGATACACTTGTTTTAGTCCAGTTAGTGATAGTGATACTAGAGTTTTTTATAAGTTAAGTTACCTCCGTGTCATAGACGAGCTGGGGCTAAAAACCAGAAATAGGAGCTTGCCTGTGTTCATAATCTCCTATTGCTTAAATATAACAAAGATATGAAGGTACTGAAACATTCTAGTACATACAATAAATTGTTTAATACTCACGTCAAAAAACAGTCTACTAAGTCTGTCATGTAGTAATACCACTACACGAAGGTTAATATAGTCAATAGATTTTACCTTGTAAGTAATGAATAAAGAAATCAACATCACTTTTAGTTTTAGGTGTTGTCCTTAAGAATATCACGCTGAAAATATTGCAGCAGAGTAAGATATCAAGAAGTACAATTACCCCTAAAAAGAAAAAAATTTATATGAAGCAATAAAACAACTACACCATCAATAGTCTTTAAAAAAAATAGTAAAAAGTCTTTTAAACGCAGAGTGTTAGAAGCTAAAGAGTTTTATAAAGAAAATAAATTGGTTGATCTTCAGAACCTTAATAGAATGGCAGCTACACTAATTCAAATGTAATACAGAGAGAGCTGTAAAGCAAAAAGATAAAACGATTTACTCTTAATGAGAAATGTCTAACTTGGTCTTTATAAAACAAAGTGCTCCTTCAAATAGTATTCTTTCCAATCTATTTATCTTAACCAGTAAGTCATCATTAAACAAACTTCTGGCTTAAACTATTGGGGGCCCAGGAATTAATGAGTTAATACTTGAGTCACTAAAAGCAATAATATCAAAAATTGAAAGAATTGATAAGCATAAAGCTATAATATTTGATGAAATGGCGATTATGCCAAGTCTTCGTTACAATGAGCATAGTTGGTGTATAGATGGTTTTGAAGATATGTGAGATGACAGAGATTCGTATACAGTATGGTGGAAATGAAAGGAATAAGTTCGTTATTTCGTAAACCGGAGACTTTAAGGAAAAATCCTGAAACCCGTCGATTTTTATTTTTAAATAAGCTATTCGTAAGAATACATTTTTATTTTTGACGTCATCTATGTGAGTGTGATGATGTCATTGCTAAAATTTTTGAATAGAAAGGGGGGTATTGTAATACATCATTTAAAAGGTCTTTTAAATACCTATTCAGCCATATCAGTAATTAATAATTATCTAAGTAATTAAAGTTTGTAATTGATTAAAAAAAAATTAACTTTTTATTATTACAATAAATATTTATTAAGTATTATTCAATAAATACAACGAAACCTAAATTAAGTGCTCAAATTGTTTACCTTCAGCTAAAATACAATAAGCAAGGCGTGCCGCGAACTCTTCTCTAACATTCTCTAAAACTTCCGGAGTTATTTGAACAACCTTATTACGTATTCTTTCTTTCAGTTCATTAATATTTTGTGGTCTATTTTGATACACCTTACTTTTTAAATATCCTCATAAAAAGAAATTAAGAGGAGTCAAATCAGGTGACCTAGGCGGCCATTCTATTGTTCCTCTTCGACCTATCCACCGATTTGGAAAGACGTTGTTTAAGTAGTTGCGTACCAAGACAGCATAGTGTTGAGGCGCACCATCTTGCTGTAGCCATAAATCATTTCTGTTTGGAAACAACCGGTTCAATTCTGGAAGCAAGAAATTTTGAAAGAAATTCTAAATATCGAGAACCTGTTAAGTTTTCTTCGAAAAAGTATGGTCCAATACACGTATTATCTATTATTCCCACCCAAACATTAATTTTCTCTGGGTATTAAGTACGGTAACCTTGCATCCAGTGTGGATTTTCCGTAGCCCAGTACCGATAAGTTTGACGATTGACATGACCGTTTAGTAGAAATGTAGCTTCATCAGAGAAAATAATCTTTTTTAAAAACATTGGATCTCTGTTATTTCGTTTCATTATAATGTCACAAAATTCAATTCGTCTATCAAAATCATCTTCCATAAGTTCTTGTACTAAACTTACTTTGTAGGGATGCCACTTTTCCTTCTTTAGCTGTTTAAGAACTATTGAATGGTCCATGTCATTATCTAATGCTACTTGCCGTGAACTGTTATGAGGATTATCTTGAAAAGCTAACAGAACGTCTACTTGTTAGTTTTCAGATATTGGTTTTCTACTACTTTAGGAAGGTCTTTAACATAACCCGTTTCTCTAAATTTTTTCTCAATTTTGCTTACAGTGGATTGTGAAATTGGTTCTCGACGGGAGTATTTATTATTAAATAACGCAAATACTTCTTTCTGCGTACGTGTTTTATCTCATAACCAATCATTATGAGAATTTCAATTCTTTGCGTTTCAGTTAGCTTCATGTTCAAAGATACAAAGACTTTTTGAATACGTTTACTACAATAATACTATTAATCACTTGACAGAAAGATAATTAAGTTTGAATGTCCAACTATCAATGTTCATATTGATAAGGTAACTAGTTTTTTTAAAAAGGTAAAACGTAGATAAAAAAGACATTTCATTACCAGTGATGGCCTTTATAAAATTTATTTTTGGGTGTCAATAATACATCATATCAATACTTAATAAATATTTATTGTAATAATAAATATTTAATAATTTTTTTAAACAATTACAAACATCAAATACTCAGACATATTAATATGGCTGAATAGGTAATTAAAAGACCTTTCAAATGATGTATTACAATACCCCCCTTTCTATTTAAAAATTTAAGCAATGACGTCATCACGCTCACATAGATGACGTCAAAAATAAAAATGTATTCTTACGACTAGCTTATTTAAAAATAAAAATCGACGGTTTTAGGATTTTTCCTTAAAGTTTCCGGTTTACGAAATAACGAATTTATTCCTTTCATTTCCACCATACTGTATAGCAGATCATGTTTTAGTTTTTATGGTAAAAAGGTCCAAGAAAACAGTGGAAATCATCTATTTCATACCAATGTTGTAGCAGTAGTGGTGCAAAAACCCCTCCAATTAAAAACGTGTTGGTGGAAGTCATTTCTAGTTTCTTATTTCAGGAAAAAAGGAAATTAATTTAGCATCTTCCAAAATAACATATTTTTCTTTGTTCGAGTCTCATCTTCGATATGGTCTTCTTTTTTGGGGTTCTAGAACAGCTGCCATAATCTGATGTTATTTTGAAATTTAAAAAAGAGCAATATAGTATCTTTTTGGCCTCAAAAATCAAAAGGTTTTAACTCTTCCTGCTTTATATATTTCAAAACGTGTTTGCTTAATTTGTAAACACCTACATGTTTTTCCAGCAAGACCTAATCATGACTACTTTATCAGAAATTCAACCTTTAATTTGTATTTAATGAACCTGTCCACTGAGTTAGGAAATAAATCTATATTATATTCAGCAAAAAGTTGTACAACCTTCTCCCTTTGCAACTTAAATCTTCAATTTTTTTTCTAAGTTCCGTAAAAGGACAAAACCTATCTATCTGAAAGACCACGTTATTCAGTAGAAGAGTTTCTGAACGAATAGCTTATTAGACCAGTGTCGAAGCCTTTAAAAAAGGATAAAAAGTAAAAAAAATATATAGTAGAATGAAACCTATTGGAAAAAAAGAAGAATATGCTAAAATTGGAAGAAAAAATAAATTACACTCCATCCGAGGTCGTCGGGAAATGGGGGGGGGTTAAGGGGTAAAAATCGGTTTATCGCGACTTTCGGTGAAACTACAAGTGCTATGGAAAAATGTTAAATAGCAAAGTTGTAGGTAACAAAAAGATCTACAACTTTTGTATTTACACTTTTTTCACATAACCAATTTACAGAAGCACTGCCAAGAATTCCAGAAAATATTGACATAATGTTTTCAGTCTCTGGAAAGGGATCATATCTATTGAAAAATTTATGTAATAGTTATTATTCAGCTACATCTCCTTTTATTCTATATTCCCGTGAATCTATGTACTGCTCTGCAGTTGCAAAATAAACATTACAAAAATCTTCTATTTCATTGCAAACTTTCACAAGTATGATCATAGTTTATAATTAATTGTACATAATGATGAAAAAAAATTATTCGATTCGAGTTTTCTTCGTTTTTTGCGTTTTTTGTGAACATTTCCCATAGTAATGTATATTTTTTACACTATCGGATAGTAAAGATTTCAACTAACAAAAAGCCCACCCACTTTTTTAAAAAGCAGATATTTTGACGCGTGAATTTTCGATTGAAAAATAGGGTACATTTTCGATAATAAATCAATATCAGGTAAAAAAATAAATTTTTCAATTCTAAAAAATTATAGTGTATTTGATACATACTAAGGCAAGTTTTCACCAAATTTATAAACCACCAAATTATAAAAATAAATTACTATTTATAACTGGGAATAAGCCACAATTAAAGATAAAAATACGTTTATTGACGTTTCAATTTCCAATTCGGAAATCGTTCTCAAAATACAAACAGTAAATTAAACAAATTTTTTTTTTTAATAAAAAGTCCAGGAATGTGGCTTTTCCTACGAGGTAAACATACTATTTTTCCGCAAATCGTTTAAAATTCGACAGATATTGATTGATTTAAAAAAACGCGATAATTTTATTCCCAAATGAATGGTGCTTTGAAATTCCTAATAAAATTACTTGAGTTACTATGGAAACGTATTGAGGTTGAATTGTCAAACTTGACGCTTATAACATTTAATTGCTGGTGTTCTCGAAAGTAAAATGATAAGTGATGATGAAATTTCCATTCCTGGGACTCCTCCAGAGCTGGTTGAGGCAGTGAATACTGCTTCATTAGAATTATTGCCAAAGAAATCAAGAGAAAAGTACGAAAATGCATACAGACGTTTTATGGATTATCGCATGAGTAAAAATACGAGTTCTTTCTCAAAAATGTTGTAATGGCATACTTCCTAGACCTTTGTTTAAAGATGAAATCTTCAACATTATGGGCCAATTATTCAATGCTGAAGTCAACCCTTGCACTTAAACACAATGTAGATATATCTACATACTCAAAACTTCGTTCTTTATTGAAACGGCAAGCTCAAGGTTATAGGGCAAAGAAATCTAAGATTTTAACGAAGGAAGAAATTGAAAAATTTATCCAGGAAGCTCCAGATAAAGAAAATTTAATGATTAAGGTAATTTACAAGGTTTTAATTTCTATTTAGATTATAGCTTTATTTATTTTTTAGGTGGCTGTAATATTTGGTATTTCTGGGGCCTGTAGAATGGATGAGTTAGTCCGAATGACTGTACACGATATAGAAGACTTAGAATCTAAGCTTTTAATCAGCATACCTGATTCGAAAACCAACAAACCAAGATCATTTGTAATTAATCAGATGATCTACTTGAATGTTTATCGAAAGTATGTTTCGTTAAGACCAGAAAATATGAACAGTGACCGATTTTTCTTTAAATATCAAAGCGGAAAGGGTTGTAGACAAGTGGTAGGAATTCATCAATTTAGAAAAATGCCCAAAATAATTGCTACTTATTTGAACTTGGTAAATCCGACAGAATATACTGGTCACTGCTTTCGTCGGTCTTCTGCAACAATATTGGTTGACTCTGGTGCCGACATAACTAGTTTAAAGAGGCATGGCGGATGGAAGTCATCAAACGTTGCTGAAGGATATATCGAAGAATCGCTTAACAATAAGGTTGAGGTGGCAAATAAAATTTTCACAGTACAAAATATTCAACAAAATGACACTTCCACCCTGCATGTTGTCCAAAATGTTTCTCATAGGTCTAAGAGTGTTCCTCCAATGTTCAATAATTGCACTAACTGTCAAATTACTGTAAATATACCAAATTGATCTTAAAAATGTATTCAGCAATGACTTGATGTTTTCAAAATATAAATTAATTCCTTATAAGCAATGTGTTTTCTATCATTTATGTAGAACACTAACAACTGTACGGAAATATCATTTCCTTACAGTAAGGAAATGACATTTCCTTACAGTAAGGAAGTCCTGACTTTTTCTTCAAGAAATTTTGACAGGAATGTCAAAATTTGCTGGCGATTTGCGAAAAAGTATATTTTTATTGTATTCTTTTATATACAAAGTTGTTTTACATGTAATTATGAAATAAATAAATTATATTTTGTCTTATTTTTTCGTAAATGGTATTGTGTATATTTGAATTTACAAATAATTTGCATATTTTAAAATTTCAAATGCAATTTTTTTTCTCAAATATACCAAATTATATTTAAATATTTTAAGCTTTATTTAAATTTTCCCACCAAAATTAAATTTTAAAATTCCCGCGTGATTTCTCGCTTGAATTAGTTCCGATACAAATCTCTTGGAGCGCTGAATTTCATATCTAACTAAAGTATTGTGAAGCATGTAGAGGTAGGTGATTTGTAGATGAGAAATTTTTTGTAATATTTCATACTATTCATTTTAAGTGTCAAACCTCTCAATACACTTGTGACGAAAAGGTTTATTTTTTGCTGGCTTGATTACACTTTTAAAAAATAAGGTCATTATCCATTCATCAAAATGAAAAAACATTAATTTTCAATATTTATTAAACAAAAATATTCTCCACATATTAAATTAGATAGAAATAATAACTAAATACTATTATTTGTTTACAATGAATCATCTTTAACAATATCCTCAAGTGGTTTTTTGTATTTGGTAAGGTATTCCTTTTTTTGATCTAATGTTTCTACCAACTTGTCGAACCAATCGCGGTGGTGTACATAGAGATACTTTATAACCTTTTTTACTTTTGTCTTGTCTTCTTCGGTGCACGTATCTTTACAGGGGTTATCAAGAAGTATTTTCCAGGTTGCTGCAAAAGAAATATAAAACAGTTAGTACAATTATCAGGTTTTGAAACTGTTTTTATTATGGTGTGTCTAATTCAAATATTGTGTTTAAGGATGGAATGAAGCCATAATTGACTGTAATGATTGACGTTTCGATTTCTACTCTGGAAATCTTTCTGTTGTTCCAGAGTTTTTACCTTGTTTAGGCTGGTGACTCTTCAAGGAAGGAGTACTTTTTTTTTCGGAGTAATGGTAATGTGGTAAACGAGTTGTTTGTTGTATTGGTGGTGAAGTAGTGGACTACTAAGAAGCAGAGGGGATTCAGATTGTAAGGAGCGCACAAGAGGGATATGGAAGAACTTTGTCAAGCATGTCAGACGAGGTACTTCAGAGGTCACCAACCATATAGTAAGAACGGCTCTAAGAGTTTTTGGCGTGCAGTATTTAACTGCGATATTTGATAGGGAATGATTCTAAAATTTAAAAATATTCATCAGGGGGTCATGTTCGGTGTTGTGGAGAAGTTTAGCTGGAGGAAACGGAACTTTTCTGTTAGGAAGCCTGGTGAGTATTTGCCCTCGGCGATTGCAAGGAGTCTTTAGTGTTCGTTTGGCTCTGTTGTTCGAGCCTGCAATGGGTCTTAGGACATACCTCCTGCTGAGGGATAGGATTATGTCCTTAACTGGTGTGATATTAGCCAGTGTATGTGTGTATGCTAATGAATATTGCCTGCTCCGCCTCATGCAGAATATAAGGATTTTTCTTTTGGTTGTCATGATGGCATTGATGTAATAGATCTTCAGAAAAGCATAGATGCATGCCTTGTATTCGATTATGGATCTGATGTATGTTTTATAGGTGTGTAATAAAGTTTTGGATGATGTCTTGCCTAGTTTACCGGACAACACTGCCAGGAGTTTAAACCTTCTTCTCACCCTATTAAGTTAAAAGTCCTGGTAAAATGAACTCCCAAATAGAAAACCGAGTTTCTGAGAATAAGATCTTCTCCTAACAGAGTTATTCAGCCCCGAACATAGCGACACTTAAATTTTAAATAAAATTAGTTGAGTTTTGGAGGGATTTATGGTCTCTACTCTACTATGGACTCTGATCTATGCTGTAGGCGGGGGATGTCACTGTCGTAGACTGTATATAATATTAGTGCAAGTATTGAGCCCTAGGGTGCACCAGCTTGTGGAGTGAAGGGTGTGGATAAGTTTTGCTACTTTGACCCTGATCGTCTGATTATAGAGATAGGAATTGATTGATTGGTTAGTTTCACAAAAGGCGTGGCAATTCAGCAAGGTGGAGTTTTTCGACCAGGCCTTTATGCCAGATCTGAACGAATGCCTTCTGAACGTCTAGGAATATGACGTGATTTCTTTCGTTAAGTGATTGTGAAATGGAAGGTGTTGCTTCATCCAATGCATTTTGCGTGAAGTGTTCAGTCCTGAATCCGAATTGGTAATCTGGAATGGCAAGGTGAGGGTCTAGGAATTCTACGAGTGTTTCTTTAAAGATCCTCTCGTAGACTAAGTACCTATTGTGCTTAGTAGAGAAATAGGTCTGTACGATTTAGGGTTGGTGAGGGGTTTCCCTTGTTTGGGAATCATGACTGTGCTGGCTATTTTCCATGAAATTGGAAAATAGCTCAGCGTTAAAGATGCATTGATTACATTGGTGAGAAACGGAATAATATTCTCTGGAAGATTTTTGAGGCATCTTCTATGGATGTCATCAGGGCCAAGAGATGTCTTTTTTCCAATGTTACACATCTGCCTGACGGTATCCTCAGTCACAGGGGCCATAATCGGGTGAGGATGCGGCCCATCATGTACGTGAGGGTAGTAGAATATATCTTCCACTCTCCGTTCGGCTTCTCTTTTGAATCTTTCGCTGAAGTTGGAGTTATTAGTGGAAATGAGGGCGGCCTGTAGTGTATTTTTGAAGGTTTCGGCCTTTTCTTGTAGATTGTTGAGAATGATATTGTTAACGAGATGAGATCGAGAGTGACTTTTTTGTTTTGTTATGACTTTAAGTGTATTCCAGAATACAGCACCCTCTGTCGAGGTAGTAAAGGTCGGCTGTGATACGCATCCACTGTTTTTGCTTCAGGAAATCTTTCTCAAAAAAGATTATTTAAAATTTTGTTGAAAAGAATGTATCAAAATTGAAAAATTAAAAATTGTTACACTTTGGACGGTGTTATAGGCAACAGCCATTCTTTGGCTGAAAAGATATGAGGGGGATTTTCTACCTATGGAACTTAAAATTTTCATTATTTCGATCCAATTGTAGCTTAATCCAATATATACAAAAAAAATTAACTTAGTACATGTAATCAATATTCAAAATTAGGTTATAGAAAAAAAAGTTGTTAAACAATAATTACTAATAAAAATATATATCTATATATCATATTTTTATTAGTAATTGGTCACCCATTTTTCCGGGCAGCGCTACTGTGTCCACTTTTCTACCTTATTAGCAATATTATTCTATTATTATTTTACCAAAAAAAAAAGTTATTCTTTATAAGCAGTTTTGCATGGTCCATTTTATTAATCATATACGGAGAGTATCTAGGAGCTGGAGTATTTCGGACATGTAATGAGAGGTCCAAATATAGGTTGCTACAAAATATCATGCAACGAAAAAAAGGCAGGCAAACGAACACCAGGACGAAGAAGAACTTCATGGATGAAGAACTTGCAAGATTGGTATGGTGTTGTTTCAAGCATGATATTTAGGGTGGCAGTGAATAAAATTACTATAGCTATGATGGTAACCAACGTTCTGAAAGGACATGGTACATGAAGGAGAATCATAGTAATTTTCATTCTCATCTGACATATGCTATTCTCTCCTGGAGTCACTTTTGTCATATCGATAAAGTGTTTGCACAACAAAGAAAGGATGTTCGTATTATCTCTGGGCTCTCTTATAGAGCAGACTGTAGAAACTCCTTTAGAGCTTTAAAAATTTTAAATTTACCTTGTGTATACATTATGCAGTGACTGTTGCACATTAAACAAAATCTTAGCCAATACAATGCGCATGTAGATTTTCACAATTATTCTACCAGATTTAACAATAATCTTATACCAGAATTTAGCCGTCTTGAGAGATCCAGAAATGGTTCAAGGTATTTAACCATAAAATTCTACAACTTAGTGCCAGCTAGAATAAAGGTTTTTAATTTTCATCAGTTTAAGGCACAAATTAAGAGTTACCTTATAGTGAATCCTTTTTTTACATATGAGAAGTATTTCACTTCCAATTTAAAACAATGTATCTATGTTTTGTGTTTATATTTATGTGTGCATATTAACTATATTGACATTTACTTTATTTTATTTGACTTGTAAAAAATACTTATGTATTAATTTATTACCAATAAACCATCTATATATCTATCTATCTGATTGTAGTCAACCACCCACTGTCTAATAGATTGTTTTAGTCTATCTCTTGCACTTACACTTTATGTCCACTTTATTTGCTCTCAAACTAACAACCTAATTATTATATACAGGTGTGAGTGTGAGATCTGGATTATGCAATCTAGTTAAACTAAAATTTTCTATTTGTCATATTTCATCAGTTGATTTCCTATAGTAGTGTAAGTTGGACCTTTGGTCAATGCTTATTTACATAGAATTTTAATATGTGCAGATCACAATTCCATGATTGTGACTGCCCATCCAAGCTGTCATATTTCACACGTCTTCTTAACGTTTGTCCTTGTTTAATGTAGTATTTCTACAAATTTATGTTTATTGTTATGTTTATTACATTCTGCGCTTGTTGGATAGCTAAAAATTGACGAAGTAAGTCTAAAACGTTAATCATAAAAAAAAATTATCATCTTCGAGTTTTTTATCAAAGTTAATCAATTTCTACATTTAAAAAAACGTTTCTTGGCTTATTTCATCTGCCCCTGATGATGCTTTAGAAAGCGAAATTACTTGGGTACGATTTAATTAATAAAATTGTGCTCGATATCTGCCTTTAATTTTATCTACTTCTACTTAAAACTTACTTACTTCTACTTCTTGCTCCTTGTCCTCTTGTAATATCTTGGCAACGTACTAGACTTTACGATTCTTTGAGTTGAACTTAACTAACACATAGTCTCCTTCGCTGGGTAATTTTTCTCATGGTGTAAAAGAGTCGGGGTTTATAAGATTCACCTCATCGCCGCTTTCATAATAGTCTTCTTTCTTGGAATAAACACTTAACGTATCTTTTCCATCTGTTGTATCTTTTGGTTCCTGAAACGTTTTTTTCTTTATGAGTTAAGTTTTTCTCTTTCTCTGCTTTTCTGCTTCGAGTTTCTCTTTTTTCTATTTTTCTGGGGTGTCTATAACTATCATAACTTATGCTTTCAATAGGTTATTTTTCCTCAGCCCAATCTTTGGCAGCTCTCGGAACTGATCCGCAGTTATAAATTCCAAAGGTGTTTCAGCTTCAGAGTCAGAACATTCTTCTACTACTACGTTTTCTTCGACTGTCAGTGGATTTTCTGTCTTAAAGGTTTGCCCATCTGAAGTATTCCCATTATTTTAAGTAATATGCCTGTTAGTAACATCACTTGGCAAGAAGTCCATATGGGTAAAAATATTTCTATCATACGGGAAGATGCTTGTCTTCTTAAAGGTACTACAAATATTTGAAGCAGCTATCTCATAAATCTTTAGAGGTCTTTCCGGATTCCGCATCATCCAACTGTCTACAATGTAGCTGTAGACAATTTTAATAGGTTTATAAATGCAAACATCCAAGGTTGCATCAATAAGCTGGGGTTTTTTTTGCTAGTGTTTAAAAATTTAATAAAGTGTTCCATCTTATCTACAAATAGTATGCTGTTCATCCAACCAGACTGTGTTGCCAATCCCCACATGACGTTGGGGATCACAAGGAAAAATCATAACTGGTGGTAAAAAATTGTCGGAAGCATTGAAAATACAACAGGTAGTTACTAGTGTTCCGTTTTCAACACTAGTAAATTTCCGACCTGTTCTTGTCCTTTCGCTTCGAGTACCTATTGAGATTTTTGCACGATAGGAAGATAGTTTGGTCAAGATTATTTATTCTATTCCCATCAGTATCTAGAACCTTCTACATATGTAAATAATACCAAACTTGAGCAAGTTGATAAAATTGTTTACCTTGGACAGCAATTAAATTGTAACGCAGAAAGTCACGGCAAAATTAGATCTAGCATAGAGCAGGCTAGAGCTGCTTTTAGAAGGATGTCCAAGGTATTATGTAACAGAGACCTGAAATTGGCATTGAGGATCCGCCTACTTCGCTGCTACGTGTTCTCGGTTTTACTTTATGGTGTCGAGTCCTGGACTATTAATAAAATCGATCTAAATCGATTCAATCATCTAATCGATCTAAATTGAGGTTTTCGAAATATGGTGCTATAGAAGAATTTTAAAAGTTTCCTGTGTGGAGAAGATTTGAAACTCTGCAATACTAGAACGTCTCAGTAAGACTACTAAGATTATAAAAACCATCAAGCAGAGAAAGCTGGAGTATTTCGGACATATAATGAGAGGACCAAATATAAGTTGCTACAAAATATCATCCAAGGAAAAATAGCAGGCAAACGCAGTCTCGGACGAAGAAGAACCTCATGGTTGAAGAACTTGCGAGATTGGAATGGTGTTGATATAAGCATGCTATTAAGGGTGGCAGTGAATAAAATTAAGATAGCTATGATGGTAACCAACCTTCTGAAAGGACATGGTACATAAAGAAATAGATTCTCATCAGCAAATTCAGGCTTACGTATCATAACTTCTTGTAACTTATCATAAAATATGTTCACAATATGTCTGTTAAATGACATAGCTCTGGACAGGGTACAATTTTCAGGTGTCCTCAGGCTTAACCGGGTTTTTTTATTTTTATAATAAGCGCATAATATGCATGTGTATTATTAACCTATATTATTGATTACACTAAATATAATTTGGGGTCCTTCAATCTACAACAAAATACTCTTGTATAAACAGATTTTAAAACCTATATGGACATATGGTACCAACTATGGAGTTGTGCTAGTACGGGTAATTTAGAGCATTGTCCTTGCTGTTATAAGAACACTTCTTCATACCATAAGAAATCCATATTGACCTAGAAATGGATATTGTTAACAAGACCATTGAACAATTTTCCAAAGTCACGAACAACGACTCCTGTAACACATGAATGTTGGAGCCATCCAGCTCCTTGACAACACGTATCTGGCTGAAAGAATGAAGAGAAGAAAACTCTTCGAATTAGTTAAATAAAATGCAGAGTATAGTGCAGGTGATGGTACAGGTTAATATTTGTGCAATAAATTAACAGAACCTAAGGAGATGCTAGTGCATGTATCTTTCTTAGTTTTAATAGTTAAGTAATAATTTAGGCTAAAAAACGTTGCTCACTGATCATATTGTTTGTTCAGATTATAACGTTCTTAAGCATATTATTAGTGTTTATTAATTAAAAAAATTAAGTTAAAAATAACAACTATAGAAAGTTAGAGCGGTTATGATGGCTGCTGACTTCAGTAACAATGATGGGACTTAAAGAAAAAAAAAGTATTAAACCTAATTGGGTCGTTAGTTGTAATTTTTTGTTTTATTTAAAAAGCAATAATACATGCAATGAAAAAATATTACATGCAATATATGCATAAAGTGTACTTTGCCAATGGTAGAAATAAAAGTTTTCCATTTCTGGAAAAGTACAACTGTCACATTTTTTACATCAGATACAATTACATAAATTTAATTCATTACCTAGTATGACATTACTAGATGATATCATCATCTAGTAATAATGAGAATGAGAACAGCAAAAAAAATGAAGAAAAGAGGAGAAAGGTAGTAAATGAAAAAGTAAAAAGCTACAAATCAAAAGAAGAAAGATATAAGAAGATATTCCAAGAAAAATTAGACAATATTTTGAAAGGTAGGGTAAAAACTGCAAGTATAGAAGAAAAGTGGGAAAATCTCAAGACCAACTTAATCATAGCTGCCGAGGAAAATAGAAAAAATAGCAAATACTAGCATGAGGAGAACCGAATGGTGGACGGACGAAATACGAAGAAAAATAAAGAACAAAAAAGAAAATGGTAGAGATATCTAAGTACAAAGCGCCCTGAAGATTATGAGGAATATAAAGAATGCACAAAAAAGGCGACAACTATAATAATTACCGA